GACTAGCCATGTGTCTGAGAGCTGGACAATGGGTAAAAATAACAGAAGAATTGACACTTTTGAACCATGGTGTTGGAAAAGGGTACCAAATATCCCATGACCTACCAAAAGAAAAACCAGATATGTTTTGGAGAAGGTGCAGTGCAGCTAGAGTCCTCCTTGGAGGCAAAGTTGATGAAACTTGGTCACACATATTTTGGACGTGTTGTTAAGAAAGGCCATTTTTTTGGAGAGGGATGTCTTATTGGGAAGGGTGGAGGGTCAGCAGAAGAGAGGAAGACCCTCAACCAGATGGACTGACACGCTGACTGTAGCAACGGGCAGTATGTCCGAGATTGTGAGGACGATACAGGATAGGGTGGGGTTAGATCTGTTGTTCCTAGAGTCACTATGGCTTGTACATGACGGCACCTAACAACAACCACCACCACAAGACAAATGACGTAATGATTCATCGACTATTGAGGGTAACCGTAATGGAATGGAGTCAGTGGAGGATTTATAATAGTTACTAGTAAAATGAAAAGTAATTCATCACAAGGGGAAGGAAGAAACAAATTCTTTATCATCTACAGGTGATCTAGGACACACTGTACTGAAAGATAGAATTCTAGAACACCTCCAGGACAAGGAGAAGATGAGCATAAAGACAGACGATGTGGATGGCACAGAAGACACATTAAGAACTAAGGAAGCAATGGGAGAGAGCGCTCAAGGATCTGGACCAGCAGGTAAGGCTGCCTGACATTCCAGTGCTTGCCGGCTGACTGACAAAGAATGACTGCAGCAGGACAGAGAGGTAAGGACTGTCCCTGAGTTCACAGTTCAGATGAAGAGACTAGAGGAAAGGACCAGAACCTAATGGAAGGACATATTTATTTTCTACGAGAGTGTCTGCTTTCTGGAGGTGGAGTCGGTGAGGGGGCAGCCATAAAGAAAAAGAGCAAGCAGGAAAGGAACTGGAGGAAAACTGGAGAGAAACAAAGTCTGAGCTGTCACTGGGGCTGTCAGAGGCAGAAGCAGGGTGACAAGAGAGGCACTGAATGGTCACTTAGAGTCATGCACACATAGGCACCTTCCAAGGGTAGAGGCAGCAGTGAGAACAGGACTGCAGATAGAAATGGAGAGGAGAATGCATTGTAAAAAGATTGAGAAAGACTGAGCAAAATGTGGTTGCCACTTCTTCCCAGCATCCGTAAAAAAAAAAACCAAACGATTTCAGATTGACTCAAAGCTAAAAGTTAAGCTTAAAACTCCAAGAAGCAGCATAGGAGAATATCATTGCAAACTTACGTTAGACAGGCATTTATTTTATCACATGTAAAACAAAACGAATTAGAAAACTTGGTAAGCTGAGCTTCATTGAAATGGCTAAAGACATCATTAATAAAAGGAAAGGGCAAGCCACTGACTTGCAAATACATTTATCTGACAAAGGCTCAACGCCAGAGTCCCTGTGTGACAGGATAGTCCTTGTTGAAGATGTGTGGGTAATACAGTCGGACATACAGGTAGTATGGCAGCATCTTGTTTACTAATTAGCACGCTAATAGCAAATCCTTGCATGTTCACAGGAATCACATTTGACCTTCCGTGGAGCCCAGGAAAACACAGTGTACTCTCACTGGTAGATAGTTGTCTCAATTTGTCAGAACCTGAGAAAGATTTCAAATACCTGGATCTGCTGCTTAATTGACGGGAAGAAGGACTTCAGACCACATATTCTTGAAAATGTCAATAGACACACCCCCCACTGTCACTGATTTATGTGGGGATCTCCAACAATTATATTTACAGTCTTACTCATGTAAAAGTACAGTGTTAGGAGTGAAGATTTTATCTGTACTCACACATGACAAACCTGTTACTGTAACTGTGACTCAAACATATGTACCGATAACTAAAGCCACAGAGGAGGAAATTGAAGATTTCTACTAACTTTTTTCGTCCAATATTGACCTAATGTTAAGATACATTAATAATTATTGATGACTGGTCCACTGGATGCTCTGCTGGAGAAGGAGGGACAGTCTCCTCCTGTGCCGCTTGGATCCGATTCGACGGCACACAAGAAGTTAAAAAAAAATAGTGATGACTGGAAGGGGAAATGTGAAGCAAGGTGGAAAATATGATCTTGCTGACAGAAGTTAGGCTGGAGATTGAATGCTTGGATTTTGTCCATTCAGTGATTTATTCATCACAGATACCTTTTGCTAATCACACAGAAGGTAACTTTACACATGGACCTCACCAGATAGATTGCACAGGATTCAGGTTGATTATATCTGTGTAAAGAGTCATTGGAGAAGCTCTGAATCAGCAGTCAAAAGCAGGTCAGCTGCTCCCTGTGGAACTGACCATCAGTTATTCATGTGCAAGTTCAAATTGAAGCTGAAGAAAATGAAAGGAAGTCTGTAAGAACCAAAATAAGCTTTTGAGTCTATCCCACCTGAATTTAAAAATCGTCACCAGAATAGGTTTGAGGCATTGAACACTGATGACTGATGACCATATGGTTATGAGTTATGAGATGACATTAAAGATTCCAACTATTAAGTGAACAAAAGGCTGTTCCAAAGAAGAGGAAGAAGAGACCAACATGGATGTCAGGAGAAACTCTGAAAATTACACTAAAGCTTTGCGAATCCAAAACAAAAGGGAGAAATGTCAAAGTAAAATAACATGATTTCAAAGGACACCTCAGGAAGACCAACCACAGTATTACAACAGAATGTGAAAAGAGCTAGTGCAAGAGAGTAAGAAGGGAAGACTGTACTCAGCATTTCTAAAGTTGAAAGAATTGAAAAACAAAAAAAGATGGAAGGAATACACAGGTATATAAAAAATAACTGATTGACACTGAAAAATTACAGGAAGTACCACACAAACAAGAGCCAGTGGTAATGAAGGAAGCAGTACAAGCTGTACTGAAGGCACTGGCCTAAAAAGGCCCCAGGAATTGATAAAATACCAATTGTCATGTTTCAGTTCACAGGTGCAGCCTGCATGTGCTCACCTGTTTATGCCAGGAAATTTGGAGGACAGAAGCTAGACGAACTAGAAGAGATCCGTATTTGTTCCCACTCCCAGGAAAAGGAAGCCAACAGAATGTGGAAATTGTTGAATAATACCATTGAGAGAGCTACGTTGGCCTAGTAAACAGAAAGTTATGCTACCAAGCCAAAGGTGGGTGATTTCAGTCTGTGGCCTTTAGGCCTGGTTTTAACTGTTTATGGTCAGACATTCTTCTAAGTGGTATAGCACAGGTCTGTGCATTGCTCTGCAGAGGTGACTCATGGTTGCTGTGATGAACACTGACACTGATATGCCAAAAGCAATAATGGTTACTCTTGGTGGACAGTGTTTGGTGGAGCTTCCTGATAATAACAAGCTTGGAAGCAGGAGTGGCATCCACTTCTGAAATGGCTTGCCTTTGGAAATTTTATGAACAGTGCTCAGGTTTTCCGTTCATAGGGTCATTATGACTTGTCTGTGACTCGACGGCACTTAACAACAACAACAAAGCAAGATATTACTAAAGATCTTCTAAATACTATTAGAACAGTACGTTGTAAGAGAACTGCTAGATAGTCAGCCTGGATTTAGAAGAGGTCATGACACCAGAGATACTGTTATTGATGTCAGATGGAGTCCTAGCTGACTATCAGGAGAATACCAGGAGAATATCTCCTCATGTTTTACTGGCTATGCAAAGGCATTTGACAGTGTGGATCATAGCAAGTTGTGGCTGACGTTGAAAAGAATGGGAATCCCAGAACACTTAATTGTACTTATATGTAACCTATACCAAGAACCTGTGTTATGAACAGAGCAAGGAAACACTGCATCGTTTGAAATCAGGAAAGCTGTATGCTTGAGTTGGTTGTATCCTTTCCCCATACCTGTTCAAACTGTACTCTTGAGAAAATGATTGAAGAAGCTTGACTTTATGGAGAAGAATGTGACATCAGGATTGGAGGAAGACTCATCAACATCTTACATTATGCAGATGGCACAACCTTAACTTGCTGAAAGCCAGGAAGACTTGAAACACTGCAGAGGATCAAAGACTACGCCCATCAATACGGATTTCATCTCAACAAGAAGACAAAAATCCTCACTACTGGACCAGTAGGCAATGTCATGATAGATAGAGAAAAGATTGAAATTGTCAATATCTTGTTCCACCTGCATCCATAATCCCTTTGTACCAGCAGTCAGGAGATAAGGATATGTACTGCATTGGTCAAGTCTGCTGTTCAGGACCTCTCTGAATTTCTGAGCAACAATAATGTCAGTTTAAAGACTACTCAGGTGAGCTTGATCAGGCCATGGTCTCCTCATTCACTTGATGTGCACCTGAGAGCTAGACAATGAATAAAGATGACAGAAGAAAAATTGATGCCTTTGAACCATGGTGTTGGAGAAGAGGACTGAATATCTCATGGACTGCCAAAAGAACAAACAGATACATCTTAGAAAGAGTGCAGCCAGCACCCTCCTTAGAGGCATGGATGGTGAAATTTTGTCTTGCATAATTTGAGTTTGTTGCTAGGTGATGCTGTTGTGCTTGGAAAGGTGGAGGGTCAGCAAGGAGAGGAAGACTCTCAGTGAGATGAGTTGACACACACTGACTATGTCAGGTGTGTCAGATGAGGAGAATTGCACAGGACAGGACAGGGTTCAGATTTCTGGGTCAGTGGGTTGTTATAAGTCGTACCCAACTCAACAGTCCCTGATTCAGCTTTTCCAAAATTCTAAGATCTAGGCAGCATAACTGTCTTAAGTTCTGAAGAAACTGGAATATGTAAGTATTAAGGAATCTTTATTCCCCCAAAAGACAGGAAGGTCCTGTGTCCTGTCTACAATCTTAGATCTTAGTATGTTTTGATTTCTTTGGAAGGAAAAAAAGACTAATAATCTAAAAATCTTTATAAACTCAAGCCTTCTACATTTTGAATTGTCCTAAAGTTTATGTTGTTTATTTGTAAATTTTCTAGATACTGTGAATGTTGCAGACAAACCTTTGGAAAAACAAAAGAGGAGAAGAGGTAAGCGTAAAGAAAATGCACCTGATTTTGACATTGCTAATGAGGCGCTCTGGTGGCTTAGTGGTAAGAAACTGAGCTGCAATCCTAAAGGCACATGCTTTGAGTCCACCAGTTGCTTTGTGGAAGATGGGTAAGCAGTCTCCTTCCGTGTGATTAACTGCCTCTGAAAACCCACTGGAGGGTCAGGTATGAGTTGGTTTTGACTTGAAGGCATACAAGAAGAAGAAAGATGTTTTTAATGCCAAAGCTTTAAAGCCAAAGCTTATTACTGTTTGCTGTCCTGAAGGTGTTATGGGGGAGCAGTGGTTAAGTACTCAGCTCCTAACCTACACATCACCAGTTTGATCTTACCCATGATTCCACTGGATACAAGACCTGGTAATCTCCCGTTTGTTGATGGATTTCATTGAGTCAGCTGACTCATAGCAACACTTTGAACAAGAGATCGGAACCTTGCCTTGTTCTCCACCATTCTCACAATCTCCAGCATGCCCGAACCTAAAAAGGCCGTTCTGTCTTTTTCTCTGACCTTCCACTTTCCGATGATGACTTTGTCCAAGGACTGGGCTCCCCTTAAACAACATCCCCAAAGTATGTGAGGCAGATTCACACCAACCTTGCCACTGAAGAGCAACCTTTCCTCCAGAACAGACTGACTTGTTCTTTTGAAAGTCCATTCAGTACTTTTCCGCAGCACCACAGCTCAGAGGTATCAGTTCTTCTTTGGTCTTCCTTGTTCACTGTCCAACTTTCAGATACAGAGAAAGTAATTGAAAATGCCATGACTGGGTTAGGCACACCTTAGTCTTTAAACTGACATTCTTACTCTTTAGCACTTTGGAAAGGTCTATTATAGCAGATTTTCCCAGTGCAATGATTTCTTGACTGCTGTTACTACGGGCATTGAATGTGGATACAAGTAAAATGAAATTATTGACAACTTCAGTCTTTTCTCCATTTGTCATGATGTTGCCCTGGGTCCATTAATGGAGATTACTTTCTTGCTGTTGAGCTGTAAATCATTTTGAAGGCTGTGGTCTGTGATCTTCATTAAGTGCTTGAAGTCTCTTTCTGCAAGATTGCATTTTCTGCGTTACACAGGTTGCTGAGCCTTCCTCCAGTTCTCATGTCACATTCTTCTTCATGTGATCCAGTTTCTTGAATGTTTAATTCATCATACAGGTTGACTATAGCAAAAGGATATAATCCTGACACATCTTTTCTAGTTTTAAACCATGCAGTGTTTCCTTGCCCTGTTCAGACAGCTGCTTCTTGGTCTATGTATAGGTTTCACATTAGCACAATTAGTGTTCTGGGATTCCCATTCTCAGTATTAGCCATAATTTTTTATGATCTATATTGTCAAATGCCTTTGTATATACTGAATAAAGCACAAATAGACACTCTTCTGGTAGTCTTTCAGCTAAGATCTATCTCACATCAGCAGTTACATTCTTGGTGCCACAGCTTCTTCTGAATGCAGTTTGGATTTCTGGTGGGTCCCTGTCGATATGCTATTCAAGCCATTTTTTATAATCTTCAGGAAAATTTTACTTGATAGTGATATTAATGATAATATTTGATAATTTCTACACCTTTTTTGGGGATTGGGAATAATTATAGATCTCTGCTAATTAATTGGCCAGGTGTTTGTCTTCCAAATTTTTTGGCATAGAGTGCTGAGCACATCCAGGCTTGGATCTGTTCCCCAAAACACCTCAGTGTGTTTTCCGTCTGTTCCTGACACCTTAATTTTTGCCATTCCCTTTAATGAAGTTTGGGCTTCTTCCTTTAGTACTGTTGGTTCTAGGTTTTATGCTGTTTCCTGAAATAGTTCATTATGGACTAATTCTTTTTGGTACAGTGAATAGCTATATATTTCTTTCTTCTTTTTATATTTTCTACATTATTCAAGATTTTCCCTGTAAAATCTTTGAGCATTGCAACTTGAACCTTCAATTTGTGTCAGTCTGCTTTTTCAAAGATTGACAGCCTTGGAAACTCTATTGGGAAATTCTACTCTGTCCACTGCGCAACCAGGAGACACATTGCACTGGGAAAGTCTGCCGTCAGGAAACTCTCCAAATAATTGAGGAAGAAATGATGTCAGTGTGAGGACTAAGATGTGTCTGATTTAGTCTGTGGTCTTTCTGTTCACCTGCTATGCATCTCAGAGCTGTACAGTGAATAAGGATGACAGAAGAAGAATTGATACCTTTGAGCTGTGGTATTGGAGAAGGGTACCAGATAGCCCATAGACTGCCAAAAGAACAAACAAATGTCTTGGGGAAAGTGCAGCCAGAGTGCTCTTTGGAGGCAAAGATGATGAGGCTTCATCTCACATTTCTGGATGTTGCTAGGAGTGACTGTTCCTTGGAGAATGACATCATGCTTGGAAAGGTGCAGGGTCATCAAAGTAAAGAAAGACAGTCAACCAGGTGAATTGACACTGTGACTGCTGCAGTGGGTGTGTTAGTGGGAGGATGGCACAGGATAGGACAGGGTTCCGATCTGTTTCATAGGGTCGCTAAGTCGTATTAGACTTGACAGCACCTAACAACAATAACAACACTGTCCATACAGTGTTCCTGTGCATTGATCATTTGTTGGAGTCCAAACTGCAAAAGATGCCGGAATTAGGTACTAGGCAGGAAAGCTTGCTCTGACGAAAAGCCGGACGTGTAGCTGTGTAACGTTTTTGCTAGTGCCTTGGAAGAAGCAAAAGTCAAACTTTTCAGTCACACAAGAGGTCCTTTGAGGTGATGTAAGAGGATGACTCAGCGTTTCAATCATTTCAGCACATGTTAGAAATAGGAATGCGTCTGAAGGGTCTGTGGAGGAACATTTTGTCTACTGGAATAAATCCCTGTAACATTTCAACTTTGGTTGGAAATGCATTAAAGTTTTGGATTAAGTTAGAAAGAATTGGGATTTTTATAAGGAAGATGAATTGCTTATTATTCCTCTTTTACTTTCTTTTTTACTTTTAATTTTACTTTTAAATTTTAACTTTTTTATTCTAATGAAAGTTTACAGAGACTTTGGATTTCCAGTCATTCATTGTTTCATACTTTTCTCCCTGCCCACCCCTCCCCCTGAGTTTGCTTTTCTCTTTGAAAAGTAAAAAAAAAATATTTTATTATTATACAGTCCCCACCTCCTCCAGTCCACTCCACTATGCAGCCTTCATTCTGGACTCTTGTCATGACAGTAATACCTAATCATATATTCCTCCTAAACAATTCTCTCCCTCATCTGTTTCAATGCAGTATGCATTATTTATCTCCTCTTAGATTCCCCCCAACACCGATGTCAGTCGTGCTTTACAACAGTGGCACTATGCAGTATTTGTCTTTTTGTGACTGAGATATTTCACTCAGCATACTGTCCTCCAGGCTCACCCATTTTGTATAATATTTCATGAGTTCCTTGTTTTTCAATGCAGCGTATTCCATTGTGTGACTATACCACAGCTTCTCTAGCCATTCCTTTGTTGATGGGCACTTGAGTTGTTTCCAACTCTTTGCTATTGTGAACAACATAGCAATAAACATGGGTGTGCATATATCTGCTTGTGTAGCAGTTATGGTTTCTTTAGAGTATATTCTCAATAGTGGAATTGCTGGGTCAAATGGTATTTCTATTTCTAACTTCTTGAGAAAGTGCCATACAGCCTTCCATAGTGGTTGCACCATTTTACAGTTTTACACTCCCACCAACAGTGAATAAGGGTTCCAGTTTCTCCACAACCTTCCCAGCATTTGTTGTTTGCTGTTCTGTTAAATTTTGCTATTCTTACTGGGGTGAGATGATATATTTGGTTTGATTTTCATCTGTCTTACAGCTAGGGATTTTGAACATTTCTTTATGTGTTTGTTTGCCATCTGAATGTCTTCTTGAATGAAGTGTCTGTTCATATCCTGTGCCCATTTTTCAATTGAGTTGTTTAGCTTTATCTTGTTGTGGTGATCTAGTATTTTATAAATTCTAGATAATAAGTCCCTTATCAGACATGTCATTACCAAATATTTTTCCCAGTCTGTGACTTGTTTCCCTTTTTACCCTGTTGGAGAAGTTTTTGCATGTACACAGGGATTTTATTCTTAAAAGGTCCTATTCATCTGTTTTATCCTCTCCTGATTGTAGGTCTCTTTTACTTTCTTTTTTTTTTCAAAAAAATTATTTTTTGTTTGTGCACCGTCAAATTGGATCTGACTTGTACAGGAGGAGATTGCCCCTCCCTTCTCCAGCAGAGCATCTGGTGGATTCAAACTGCGTATCTCTGGGATTGCAGTGCAGCTTCTTGCCAGTAGGCCACCAGAGCTTCCTCTCTTTACTTTCTTCAACAAAGTTTTAGAAGTTTCTTTGTAAAAATCTTATGTTTTTATTGTCAGATTTATCAAAATACAATTGTCATACATTAAATTCACAACTTGTGTTCCAGCAAAGATGCCACAATACAATGGTTCAGATTGGTCTCTTACCTGTTATGATGTTGAGGTAAGATAATGGGCTATACGAGGGGATTATGTCATCAGGATTGGAAGAAGACTCATCAACAGTCTGCAGTATGCAGATGACACAGGCATACTTGCTGAAACTGAGGAGGACATGAAGCATTTGCTGAAGAAGGTCAAGGACTGTAGTCTTCAATGTGGATTGAAGAAAACAAAAGATTCTCACCACTGGTCCAGTTGGCAGTACCATGATAAATGGAGAAGAGATTGAGGTTGTTAACAGAGCTTGCTTGGCTCCACAGTCAACACTCTCAGCAGCAGCAGTCAGGAAGTAAAAAAATGAATTGCATTTGGAAAATCTGCTGTCGAGGACCTCTCCAGAGTCCTAAAGAGTAATGTCAGTCTAGGGACTAAGGTGCACCTGATCCAGGCCATGGTTTTCACAACTACTTGCTGTGTGTCAGGGAGCTGGACAGTAACTAAAGATGACAGAGAAGAATTGATGTCTTCCTCTCTCGACTTTAGTGCCATCTTGTTTGAGAC